AAATTCACCATGAAGGAAATGTTCTACAACTAAGTGATACATACCAATGGATATCAAATTTGAAAATAAATTTTTATTTGCAATTTTTATGCAAAATAAAAAAAATAACAATTATTTTTGATTTTTATATTATAAATCCAAAATAACAATTAAATTTTATCATATGACTTAGATAACAGTTATTGAAGTCTTTAATTTATAAAAGTCATCAATAGAAATCAGTCAATGACTTTTACTTTTAAATGTCATCAATATAAATCAGTCACCGACTTTTACTTTATAAATTATTCGTATAAAAGTCATTAACATTTTTCGCAGTTAAGAATGTGTTGGGAAACAAAAGTTTACTACGACTTGTAAAAATGACTTTTATAAGTATGATTTAAAAAATTAAGGTCAGTGACTGATTTTTATTTATGAGTTTTATAAATAAAAGTCTTCGATAACTGTTAACTAAGACATAATTTAAAAATCAAAAATTACTGTTATTTGCAGATTATTTACATAAAAATCAAAAATAATTGTTATTTTGGATTTATAACATAAAAGTCAGAAATAACTGTTATAAGGAGTAATTAAATAAAGGTCAAAAAATAATTGTCAAACAGCGATTTTTTTAATAAAAGTTGTAACTGTTACGGTCCCTCGTGGAATATATTTGACCAAATATAAAGACTAGTCCTTCTTGTAATATTACCTAACCATGTACATATGTATATCGAGCCCTAACCGCCAAATTAACGTAAGCGACATTTTTTTTTATTTCTTTTTTTTTGATGCAGGAATGCATCCAGACGCTTTAGAAATATTTCTGCATCAAAAGCAAAATTAAAAAAAAAATGTCGCTTACATTATTTTGGCGGTTAGGGTTCGATATAGCGAACGCGGACTAGGCAGCTACATCATCGCGCCGGCACAAGTCTGCAGTATTCTACGACCTATTAAGAGTTTTACCAGCCTCTTAGACATCAACAATATACAATTTCTACTATATTGAGCAATTATAGCCAAATAGAAACCGCATACTTATAAACTATTTTCCTTTACAGCAAATTTAATAATAATAAATCTTTGAAGTAAGTTAAGTATCTATGTCAAAGTTCAGGGGCAGAGCTTTTTAAATTAAAAGATTTGACTAATGTTAATAAGAGTGGCTGTGAAAATACCTCCTTACCAAATTATGCATCCATTAGGTAACAAATATATTTGCTTATATTAACTTTCAAAGATGCTCATCATAAGACTTACATATCTAAAAATAGACTTTATTTGCATTTTATTTTTACGCTTTTATTTACATACATACACTCAAAAGAAAATAACAAAAAGTAATTAATTCAAAATTGTCTGACTTAATAGCAATTCAAGGTTCGCACAATATGTGATAGCCACTTTTAATATGGCTTCGAATGCAGCCATAAATTTAATATCGTTCTTGTGGTTTCGACAAGTTTTTACAATATTGTTGTTTTTTATATAAGTTTATATTGCCTTGAACTTTTTAGCACCAAAAAAAACTGAAATGGAGTCAAACAGCTGTGAGATTGCAACGCTGCTATGTTAGTAGTTACATAGATATGCGTATGTTTATACATACATATGTACCTGAATGCATATATCAACAAAATTTGCAGATAAACAAAAAAATAGTCACCAAGGCATAATTTAAACAAACAAATACTATTTGTAGGCTTGAACAGATATAAAAATTATGCATGCATACAGATGAATGTAGGTATATTTACAAACATATGTATCTACATACGTGTACTTAATTGTATGTGTACATATATTAATTTTAAGTATGCACTTGTGTGCCCATAAGATGGTGTAGAATGCTGCAAGCATGCTTAAGTACTTTTAACACGCGATCATTTATGATAAACTATAAATAAACAATTAGTGAGTTATGAGCCATTAAAGGTTGGCCTTTAAGCGTAAAGCGTAAAAATTTAAATTACAACCACATTGGTTTTGGCTTTCAAAACATTGAACTAGTAATAATAATAATAGATTGGCGCTTACACATATGTTAGTGTTTGGCCGAGCTTCTCCTCCGATTTATTATCAATATTTTTTATCGATTTTGTTATCGAAGTTTTTATCGATCGTTTGCTATCGTTATTATTATCGCTCTTGTTATCGATATTTTTCTCTTACGTTAATTAATTAATTTTAAATTCTATTAATACATATTTTTGTAAGTAGTCGGTCGGTACCTGCGATCCATGCTTGTTCCGAGCCACATCTTAATTAGACAACCTTTTTTCTAACAACATTGGCCTTTGGTAAACATCCGAAAGTATTTCAGTCTAACTTCGAATAAAATCCGTTTTCCGTTCGGAGGCGGCGTAAAATAAAAGCTCCCTCCATTTGTGTTTTAACGTTAGGACGCACACCACAAATTGTAGGAGACTTAGAAAATATATTATTAATATTATTATCATTATTATTAATCGGCCGACCTTTTGTACATATTTGGATTTTGAAAGAAAATGAGTTATGACTTTTCTATATTAAGGTAACATTATGTCTGTTTGTGTACATTCGTTTTTGTTTTGCTCAAATATGAATAGAAAATTTTTTTTTTTTTTATAAGTGCGTTGACTTGCGGTTGTTTTTTGCCGAAATTGCAGATGTGTATTAACAAATATACCTTTATAAAATAAAAAAGCAAACGTATTTACATATTTGTGTGACAGTAAACAAATACCAGACATATACTTTGCTGCTCGTCCAGTTTTTTTTTTTAAGTACGTTTAATTCATATGCACACATACTTATACACGAAATTCCTGTTTGTTTTTTATGCCAGTAATAAATAAGATATTTGCATTTTCTATATTACACCGCGCGACAGTCAATTTTATACACAAAATAATCCATAAAATAGCGAAACTTTAGGCCAAATATTGTAGAACTGCGTTTTCGGTTTTTCTCTTTGGCGTCAGTATTAGTTTTACCGCATACTTATGTACATATATACATGGCGTATGAGTAACATTCTTTGCTTCTGATTTTCCATATAAAAAATCTTTGCGCATTTTTATTTATTCATCGACTTTCTTCATTAGTAGATCAAGATTTAACACAAATTATAAAAATTGGCACAGAAAATTTTATATTTTTAATTTTTTCCCTGTTAAAGTTTGAATAATTAAATTTTTTCATCAAAAAAAAACAAAAAATCTTGACTGATTATCTAATTTCTCAGAAACTATTAGGCCCATCGAAAAGTGATGTATGTATATATATACGGTTTATGGAGAAAAGGATGGAGATTTTTCAACTGGTTCGTAATACATACATATATGTACGGTGGCAGTCAAAAGTGGATGAATGGTGTTTCGTTTTTAATATTTACAATGTTTTTCAAGCCAAATTTTTTTGATTTTTTTTTTATAAAAATATGGTTCATGCTTTAACAAAGACCATATAAACCACACTTTAAAATTTTATACAAAATTTAGCAAAATTCCACAAATTTTTATCTAAATTTCGTGTTTTTTAAACAGAATATTTAAAAATTTTTCTGGTATGCAGTTAACAGGCTTATAAAATTTTATTAAAGTAAAGCAAGTTTTGAGCGGTTAAAAAGTCGCATTGATTTTGAATATATTTTTTTTTTGGTAATTTAACAAATTTTCGTTGAAATTTCAACTTTTTAATCTGATTTTCTAGAATTTTCAGTATGCAGTTTGGTGGCCTATTCAATTTGCCAGCTGACAAATTAGTGACTTATTTTTGAGACTAGAGACGTGAGACAGCGTACTGAATACCAAATAGTCTCAAAATCCAAATTCACCACCAAAAGTCACTATTAGTGACTAGA